TATATATAAACTGACAAACTTGTATGTAAGATATATATATATATCTTACATACAATAGAAATTTTTACCTGGTAAGTATGATTCCTGTATTTGGCACCACCATCATTTAAATTCTGGTATGTTTGAAATAAAAGTGTACTTTTACTGTACATTTTTTTTTTTCTGGGTATGGAATTCAGACTCTTGTGCATGCTGGGCAAGCACTCTACCACTGAGCTATACCTCTAGTATTTATTTTTCAATATCCTATTATTTAAGAAAGGGGTTATCTTAATTTGTTTCTTTTAGTTTTGATGTTTGTTTATGTTTACTGATATGCTATATAAGGAATTTCTCTGGTTTGAAGAATCATTTGGTCTCCTCAGTAAAGGAATAATTTATTTTTTCTTAAGTTAGCTTTCCATTAAAATTTTAATTTCAAAATCTTCTCCAGAAAGTTCTAGAAGAAGAATGGAAGTTTTCCTTCAGTGTAGTAAAACCCAGAAGCACAGGACATAGTTTCTTCCATGAGCAAACTTAATTATTACCCTGAGGAAGTGATGGTGCTAGGATTTGATAAAGGTAGCAGTGAATTTTGTAGCTAAATTTGTAAAATAAGGATGATCATAATATTTAATATATGATGCTTATAGGGCAGTGTTCTATGTTTGTTTTCAGTGCAACCTAGAATAAGTCCATTTTTCTAAAATGAAGCATAAACACACACACACACATACACATACACACACACATACACACACACATAAAAGTTCCATAAAGGAGTGCTTACCTTTACTATTCTCCATGTGCTTCATTATTTTCTCTTATTTCATTTTAAAGTAATGCTGGGCATGACCCATTCATTATAAAACCCCCTAACTGGTCAAAAAACCACTGTTTGAAAACCACTGTTGTAGGAAAACATAAGGAAATAAATACATTTTATAAACTGTAAAACACTACTAAGCTGTAAGCAATTGCTACTAAATAGCTAGTTAAGAATTTTATTGGCCTACAGACTACCTCTTCTTCCTTGGATACTACCAGTAGGGGTCAAATTCACCAAGACTTGGTAAGGAAATAGTACTCCTGCTGACTATTAAGACAATTCTCTAATGCTTAGAGAGATCAGGACTAGCAGACAAGACATTAACCATATTAGCACCCAGGGAAAGGAAGGCAAATTAGAAGCTAAATAAAAAAGCAAATATCTGTTTAGTGATTTGATTTATAAAATACTTTCAGATACATGTTCTCTAATCTAGGGGGAAAGAGAAGCTCAAAGAGGTTGAGACTTGCCCAAGATTAGACAGTAAGTGGCAGAGATGTTATCTAAGCCTTCCTCCTTCCACTGTGATAAAATGCCAGGAAAAGGAAAAGTGGTCAGGACATGAGATTCACTGTGATCTATCAAAGATGTTTATGTCTTCTGCCTTTCTCCAGAAGACAAAGGACTATACAGAAGGTGGGGAAGCAACTCCAGATTTTGGGAGTGAGGCATGGCCAGTTGCTCCTATTAGTTCAAGATTCCCACCTGGCATTTTTTTTTTTTTTTTTAAAGAAGAGGAGAGAGAGAGAGTGTGAGAGAGAGAGAGAATTTTTAATATTTATTTTTTAGTTCTTGGCGGACACAACATCTTTGTTGGTATGTGGTGCTGAGGATCGAACCCGGGTCGCATGCATGCCAGGCGAGCGCGCTACCGCTTGAGCCACATCCCCAGCCCCCCACCTGGCATTTTTGTCTATCAATACTAAACATTTGTTTTGACATTGTTTGTGCTCTAAGATTCCAAACATCTACTATGTACTGTGGTCTTTTATTCCTGTCTGTGAGGGTCTTTGAGACTTAGTCAAGTTATTCAAATTATACTTGTTCAAGACTTATATTACAGGGAAATCAAGCACTAAATATCTGTTACCCATACCCCTTACTCTTAGGTAAACTGAAAGTATCAACATTAGTGGTTTCTGATGACTGCCATATGTTTGCTCAGTTTCTTCTGAGGAAGCCAGCTCCAGGCTTCATGATTTTATCTCCTTTCTCCACACAATGCCCATCTCTCTTCATTGTGCTCCCTTCCCCTCCAAATATAGAAAAGTTCAACTTTCAAGTACCTGGCAGTGTGGGGAAGGGATGCCACTATTAACAAGTTCCCTTCTTTCCTTGCCACCCCCCCCTCCCCCATTGTCTTCTTATTCTCACCTTTTACTCCTGAGCCACTCCATCCAGTGGCACCAGGCTGTACTGTTTGTGGCTCCTTGATTCTCAGCACACCACATAATTCTTTGGTGTTTGGAGCTCATTCCCCCTACTTCGTTCATAAAGAGTGGGGCACATTTGGCAAATTATATGGACTATGTTGGCCAGCTGTAAGGTAGGAAGAAAGCTGCGACTGTAAAGCTCTTTTGGCATCGGGACAGGTTAACTGCGGTGGAGGGAGTAGGGAAAGCGAGTGGGTGACAGGATACAGCTCTTCGTGGTCTTCATCATATTCTTCTAGTTATCTCTTCTGGATAGGCATCAATTCTCAGGTCATGTCCCAATCCTAAGGTAATAGTTCCAAACTTCCTCTTCTTCCTCCTGGTCTTACACATAGTCCTCATTGTCCCTATTCCTGGTACCATCGTCACCAACAATGAGTTCAATCATCCTCTCGGTTTTGGAACAAAAAGCATTCCCCTGATATAAGACCTCCCGAATGGAGTTGACCCATCGACCGAACACCCGCCACTGCCTCCTCCTCTTCTCGTCTTAATCTGCCTCATCTTTCAAGCCCCTCGGCTGGGTCACACACGGTCGGCGGAAAGTTGTACCCATAGCTGATGGACATAGGATTATTGAAGTGTTGTAGGCAGATGCCACATTCCGCTTTTTCCTTAAGTGTCTGCATAGTGTTGGGAGTATTGGCATAACCAGCCATTTTATAGAGCTGAGCCCTGCAACAACTGAAAGCTGAGGAGCAGGGACTTGCCTGTAAGCCTGCCTCTGATTTACTTTGTGATCTGACGCTGTGACTCAACCCTAGTTTTCCTCCTTAACCCTGATCTTCTTTCTCAGGCTCTGCGCAGTTCAGGTCCACAATCAGAACCACAGGTCCACGACCATGCAGAGATTAGCAGGGACGAAACAAGCCTGGAACCCACAGCTCCATTCAAATCTCAGTGTAAAGTCTCAAATCCGGTCTCCTGGCTCTCGGGATTTGCACAACCACAGCTCCTCACTCCGACCCAGGCAACCGGAAATGACGTAAGCCAACCCCGCCTCACTTAAGAGGGGGTGGGGTAAATGGTCGGAGGAGCGCAGCTCCGTGGCATCCAGGAGACGACCTTGGCTGAATTCCTGCAGTCCGTCAAGCCACAACTGATTGGAAAAACTGGTTGGTGGGAACGGGCGGAGGCGCAGAATCCACTTAAGTCACCGACCACGTAAAGTACATTGTAGCCTGCTAGACACCGAGAGCAAGAGGCCGCGCCAGAGGTGGTGTACGCTGCGGTCAAGCTCTAGTGGGGGGCTTTTTACGTTACTTGACTCTTTTAGGAAGAAGGCCTGAGGACTTTGTGGGAGGACTTGGGTGAAAGGCGGCCAAGCTCGCGGGCGGGGTCTGCAGGAAACCGGCTGGGCCTGCAGAAATGAGGCGGTGGGGCTCGAAATGGGCAGAGTAGGCCGTGATGCTGAAGGATCTTGCGCCTGCAACTTTTCTCCGTCTCCTCTTTTCTTGCTACCGGAGGAGCCTCGGTCTTCTAACATTGACCTTTCTTGCGACCTTGACATCTGTGTCCATTTCCACTGCCCATACACAGCTTAGAAACAGCAAATTCAGCATACCCTACACAGACTTCTGTAAACCTTTTCACCTCCTTGCATTCATAATTCTTCCATTCATTTTTCACCTATTTCTTCATTCAGAACCTATCTACCCAACCATCCATGCTTTTTTTTCTTCCAGTACTGGGGATTGAACCCAGAGCCTGGTGCATTCAGGAGACACACTCTTCCATTGAGCTACAGTCCCATCCCATTCATTTGTAATCTGTTCACACATCATACACATTTGTCCTGCGAGGCTCAGATCCTGCAGCCTTTAAGCAGCCTCCAGTTCCAGATTTCACCCCCGACCCCCAACGAGTTCCATTTAGCCCTCATAGGCCTTTTTATATTGCAGAGCAGAGAAGGCACATTGCCAGCAGGTCACATCAGTGGGCGCATGCTCATAAACAAATGTTTATCCTTGAGTATGTATGCTGAATCAGAGTGTTTGTGAACTTGGCTACACACTTAAAAACAGTCTGTGGGAAGGCTTTGGGAGGGAACCTAAATAGTCATCCAGGGCCTACTCATTGACATCGAGAAACTGATGTGATTCCATTTTTGAGAAACCAGCCTCTAACTCAGAGCAAAGCCTGTCCAAGGAAGAGGGGTGGCTCTTGTCCTTGGAAAAACCAACAGAGCACTCCTAGGCACATACCCACACTGCTGAGTTGTTTGTCTGCAAATAATAGGAGAGATCTGCGGCCCAGGTGTCCCTGACTCAGTCAGGCTAGGTGAGGACCCATAGCAGCACTCTAGCAACCACCAATCAGCATGAGACAGGGAAAATACCTGGGATGCCAGATGACCCTCCCAGTAGTTGGTTGATAACATGTTGGGAAACTATGTAGTTCAGCACTGTACACCCCCATGGGTTAAACCAATCAGTTCAAACGAATCTCCCTCTTGTACTAACCAATCACTCCTACCCAACTTGTTCCCGCCAGTGAATGTGCTAATCATGTTTTAGAATTGTTTTATGATTTTCCTGCGGTGTGTGATGATTTGCTAAGAGATTCAGTGATGTATGTGAAGTCCCTGCCTTCCCCAAAGAGTGTATAAAACTGCTGCAAACCCTGGGCTCCGGGCCTCTCAGCGTCACAAGTTGGTGTGTGTACAGAGGACTGAGTTAGCTCACAATAAACGCCTCTTTGCTGCTTACACCGATCTTGGTCTCTGGTGGTCTTTTGGGGGTCTCGAACTCGAGCATATCAGCAGAACCTGTCCATCCACTTATTCATCCACTTCTATCTCTCCAGAGAATAGAAACACAAAAATGAGTTGAAACATGGTTTGTCACTTTAAGGATCATCCTTCACCCAAAGTTTTACAAGATTTTTCCCTTTGTTTTTTCACTTCCCTTTACTTCTTATCTCAGTAAGAAATGTATTTTATATATTAATTCAGTAAACACATAAACAGAAATAAAGTTCCTGAAAACTCCCCCCCCCTTAGGCATCTAAGTCTTCTGAAATTTTCCATTTGATTTCAGTAAAATGCTATTTAGACCAGTTAGATTGATTGCTTCCCTCACTAATTGATCACTGTTTGGGTTAAAGAATGCTACCTGCCCAAATGAACTGTTTAACACACCCTGAAACCCTTCCTCTCTATCTCTGGGCCTGAGCCAAGCAGCTGGGTGTGGTGGTACCATTGTAATCCCAGTGGCTTTGGAGGCTGTGAGTTCAAAGCCAGCCTCAGCAAAAGCAAGGCGCTAAGCAACTCAGTGAGACCCCATCTCTAAATAAAATTGAGCTACAGTTTTCTTCTCGTCATTCTAGGTTTGACTTCATGAGTTTCAGACTGCACAAAAAATTTCCTAAAGTCACGTCTTCTCATGTAAGTCCATTCTGTAGGCAGCAGAACCATTCACCTTAAAGTCTGACTACTTCAGAGTCTTTAAAAAAATTCCTTCAGTGGCTCGCAATCATTTCCCCAGCTTTGCCTTGAATAACCTTGGAGTGCTGTGAACATAGGAAGTTGAATCCTGGGTCTTCCACTCTTACTTCAATCAGAACAGCTTTATCTGCATTATAAAATAGGCTCTGTCTGAGATTTTGTTGGAACAAAAGGACTCAAAGTATAAAAATCTTAGTCTTTGGCTGAGAGCAACGTGGGAAGAATATCGGCTCTACTCGAAATCCTGCAGTCCCTGAGCTGATCCCAATGGCTTACCTCAGTCCCCTGAATGTGAATGGCAAATTTTTGAAGGAAGATCAGAGTAGCAAACCTCCATGTCTATCATCGACTACCAGGGAACTTGTCCCTCTCCTTTATCACTGACAGTGCCCACTCTGGTGCCACTACTTTGTTGAAGCAGAACGTCATGGCAGGGAGTAGTCAGTAAAGCAAAGCTGCTCATCTTATGGTGACTGGGAGGCAAAAAAGAAGCAGGAAAGGGGGGGTCCCAATATCCCTTCATGGGCATGCTCCCAAGAGCCTAAATTCCTGTCACTAGGCCCTACCTCCTAAACGTTTTACCACCTCCCTATGGTATCATGGGTTGGAGAATAAGCCTTCAATTCAGAGGACTTCAGTGGGGGGCATTTAAGATCCAAACTATAACATTCTCCCACCTAGAAGACTCTTGTCTCACTACTTCACCTGGATATTGCTAATTATTCTTCAGCTCTGCCCAGACATAGACTCCTAAAGGAGACTCTTCCTGAGGCTGGTACCAGGCTGTGTTCAGATCTTAACTCTATCACTTGCTCTATGCGTGATTTTGGCTTAATTTCTTAACATCTCTGTGCTGTAGTTTTCCTATGTGTCAAATAAAAGATGATTGTAGCACACACCTCATGGGTTGTTGTGCAGTAGGATTAATTGACATCTATAAAGTAGAACAGTGCCCTCTGGACTTACCTCTATATTCTCATGACCTAGCTGTCTTCTTTTTCTGTAACAAATTGGCTTCAGAGACTCCCACTTAGAATAGAGTGGAGTGATAAGGAAATTATGGTAATATATAACTCACCACATGTCATTTTAGTGGTTCTGAGGGCCTTATATCTGGAGAGAAAGGAATTAAAACTCAGGCTTGACCTGTCTAAAATGGAACACCTATTCATGTTGTTTTATTTTTAATTTCTATTATGTAATCTAGGAGCCTTCCTGGAGATCAGGATTGAGCCCAAGTAGCCATGAAGTGAAGTGGGGGGATACCTGAACAACAAGAATTGAAATTGAGCAAGGTGTGGTGGAGCATGCCTATAATCTCAGCAATTTGGGAGCCTGAGGTAGGAGGATTGCAAGTTTGAGGCCAGCCTCGGCAATTTAGCAATCCCTAAACAACTTAGCAAGACCCTATTTCAAAATAAAAGATTTTGGGAATGTATCTCAGTGGTAAAGTAACCTGGGTTCAGTTGCCAGGATTAAAAAAAAACAAACTAGAATTCTACACCTATACCTTAATTCAACTTCTGCTTTTCACAAAAAGAGTGAGGTTAGTGAAGTGGGAGAAGGAGTTAGGGAG